CTGAGAAGTGAAGTAATTTTCTCAAGGTTACACAGCCCGTATGTAGCAGAGCTGGAATTTTATAACACAGTCTGGCTCTAGAATCTACCTCTTAATTGCCGTATTATATTGTTCCTTTACAATTAAGTAAGCCATGGCCTCTAAGTTATGTTATGGATAATAAACTATGTTAAACACTGTGTTAAAATCTTGTTCTCACTCATATGTGGGAGATAAAAAAGTTGATCTCATGGAAGTAGAGAGTAGAATGATAGATACCAGAGGCTGGGAAGGGTGTGTGGGTGGGGGCAGGGGATACAGAGAGGTTGGTTAATGGGTACAAACATCCAGTTAAATGGAACGAATAAACTCTAATGTTTGATAGCAGAGTAGGGTGACTATAGTTGACAACAATAAATTGTATATTTCAAAATAGCTAGAAAAGAGGACCTGGAATGTTCCCAAGATACAGAAATGATAAATACTTGAGGTGATGGGTAACCCAAATACCCTGACTGGATCTATGCATGTAACAAATGTCACATGTACCCCACAAATTTGTACAAATATTGTGTATTAATAAAAGGTAAATAAAAAAATAAACATCTCTTAGCATTGGTTTAAAAAACTATGTTAAAATCAATATTAAAGAACAATAAACCTAGGGAAGAATTGTATTAAATTTCTCAACTGAGCATATAACAATCATTTAGTTATTGCCACATGATAGCTAAGAGTGAAACATTTTAAAATGTGACAATAAACCCTTTAAAAATTAAGTATCCTACCACAGAGCCAGGTCCCTATCCTTCTACACACTTTTGGATTTTTTTTTTTTTTTTCCGAGACAGAGTCTCACTCTGTTGCCCGGGCTAGAGTGCCGTGGCGTCATCCTCGCTCACAGCAACCTCAAACTCCTGGGCTCATGCGATCCTACTGCCTCAGCCTCCTGAGTAGCTGGGACTACAGGCATGCGCCACCATGCCCGGCTATTTTTTTCTATATATTTTTAGTTGTCCAATTAATTTCTTTCTATTTTTAGTAGAGACGGGGTCTCGCTCTTGCTCAGGCTGGTTTCGAACTCCTGAGCTCAAACGATCCGCCCGCCTCGGCCTCCCAGAGTGCTAGGATTACAGGTGTGAGCCACCACACCCGGCCTGGATTTTTTGAAAACCAGAGATAGGACTAGATTACTGCTCTCACCCTCTAAGCACCATACATTCATGACATATGGTCTGGAACAACATAAAACATATTTGGAGCTAGTAAATAATAAGAAAAAATTAAAACAATACTGTGGTCAAAACTTTACAGAAAAGAAGAAATGCAGCAGGGTAATTTAGAAAAAAAAAAAAGAAAAAGCTTCTAACCATGTCAGACTTTCCTGTCTTCAAAAAGATGTACTTCCTGGCTGTGTCCACTGTTTTCACAACTAGAGTTATTTCAGCATTTCTGAAAAACATCTACTGAAAATGAGCAGGGCTCCAGGGTTTGCTAGGAGTAACATTTTTAAAATTTAGGGATGCCTTTTTAAGAAAAAAAATTTTAAGTTCACAAATACAAAATTAGGTAAAGGTCTTGAAGGGGCCTAGACATGGGAGGGTCCTAAAGCGAAGCTACGGCCTGATGTGGGCAGCGAACGCCGGCTCCTGAAAGCGTGCGACTCATTCCCTGCCTCGGAGCCTTGACCTCAGTCAGCCTGGGGGTAGATTTTACTTGATGAACTGAAATGATAAAAAGCTAATTATAGAAATATTAGGTTTTGAGTACCAGAGGGATAAAAGACATTATAATCTTATACTCTTGGAATTTAAGTGTTCATTCATGATGTCCTATTTTCTTAACTCTTACCCTGCCTTCTAATTTTTGTCTTATCATTGCCATATGACTAAATGTAGCTATTATGTTTTAATGTACTTAGATGTCTTTCCTTTCTCTCGAAGATCCACAGAAATAAGCTTGATTATCAAGGTACGAATTCTGAGCAGTGGCTTCTATTTCCATTTAGTAATAAACATCATAATAACTATTTAAAAAATTAAGAGGTGTATCTGTGGTGGACATTGAGTTTTATTTTTTGAAGGATTATAATTATATCAGTAGGACTAACTAAGAGGTGATTAATCCTTACAACGTTAATAACACCTCATTTATTAAAATACTGAATAAATAAAATACTAAAATATTAAAACTTCCCTTTAAATCCTGAAGGGACCCCAAATCTGATTCACACCAACATAAAGCCTTCAGATGAGAGAACGAAGCCCAGGGAGGGGAAATGACTTGCTGAGGCCATGTGTTGCTGTAGAATCTTCATGCCACATACACCGCATTGTGCTTTGCTGACTTGAGAGTTTTAGAATGTATTTTATTATATTTAGCTGGACAATTTTCCTATATTTCCAGAAGCTCTGCCTAGAGACACTTTCCAGTTCTTTATTATACACATTACCATGCTGCAAAATTTATATACCCAGAACTAGATGTACTACAGCAGCTACCTGAGTTCCTCTGTGGTGTCAGTTAGTGTCCTGGCCCAGCAGCTACGATACAGGTCCTGTGCTTCTCTGGAGACTCCATCGGTGGCCCTGAACTAATAATCTTTACACGCTTTTCTCTGCCCAAATTTCCAGCCAGTCTCTAGTCACTGTGCTGCTCTGTCTCTTTCCTCAAAAATCCCTCCTATTTGTCCCTCCCTTTCATGTCTAGTGTCGGCCTCAGCTATAAGCCGGCATCACCGCCACAGCCTCTTCACTCGTCCCGTGCTCTCCTTCTCTCTCTAGTCTAAGAAGTTCTCATATGTGTGCACGTTTGGTCCCAAAATGTTTGTTCAAAGAGATGGAGCAGAAGAGAAGAAATAAAATGAGAGAGCCTCTGTCAAATAAGCCTGGGAAATGCTCACACCACATTCCCTCCTAGTTTTATAGACTCATTAACATAACAAAAACACAGAGTCCTGTATCAAAGAACTTTGGGAAAACTTATCTGTCCATGGAAATCTTTTCTGTGGAATAGTTACCAGTATTTCACAGGCAAAATCCAGTTTGGAAAACTCTGTCCTAGGTTAGTCTTCATAAAACAGACCAGGCTTAGGCCCAAATTCACCTGGCTAGTACTCCGGGCACCCCCATCTGGCCTTCTGCAATCTAACGTCATGGACCTCCTCTCCCAGAGCAAATGGTTTGCTGCAGTCAATCCTTCTGTCTTCTGAGCAGGTGGGATTATTCCTTAGAGTGTACACCCAGCTCTGGCCCTCTGGTTTGCCAAATTCTCACAGCATAGGGGTCCATACCTTCAAGCTGGCATTGAGTCAGAGACTGCACCTTGCCCTAGTAACTGCACTATTCAATGCCACAGCTTTCTCTCCCCAGCTAAGTTTCCAGAGTCAGGGAACTCCTTTTCTGCCTGCCTCCTCAGCACCCAAATGTGCTTTGATGGCTTCACTGTGCAAACAGATGGCACTTAATAAACATGTTGGCTGAATGAATGAGAGTGAGTCTTGGTAAATGTCCTTTTAAATAAATTGGCTTTGTAGATTCTTGAGTTCAGACCACCTGAACACATCAGGGATGAACATACGAGTTTATCAGAAGAGATCATCTGGTCTAGTCCCATCTCTGACATGACATCCAATCACACGGAGATGAATGAAGCGAAGCATTTTATGGATTATCTACCTGCCTTAGCAGGAAGGCAGGATGAGAATATGTAAATCCTGGCTTTACCAGCAGCAGAGCGAAAAATGTATGTATATGCAGCACTAGGCTAAAACAACTTTCATCAATCATAAAAATACACAATTCCCCGCCATATGTTTTCAATAGATACTTAATTAACATCCGCTAACTTTGATAACTTGACTACCACATCAATTTTAATGCAAATTCAAATCTTAAATTCTCTTATTAATATTTTCCTAATACCAAGATTCTTATTTTATCTTCTAGCATGGGTAATTTTTCCTCCTCCATGTAGAATAAAATTAAACAGGTTCATAAAATATTCATCAACTTACACATAAATCATAGCTATCTGCGCCTCCAAGTTTAAATTAGTTTTCTTCTTAGTCTGGGATGACTAAATATTTGCTACGGGTACTTCCCTTGGTTTGCCACTCTTTCTTTAATGTTCTATTATTTGATCTATGGCCTGGAATGTCTGTATTTCTTATATATGCACACCTCTACTTGCACATCACGCAAAGTAACCGATGTAAGCACTTCATCTATATAATTACATTCACTAAGGTCCATGTCTGCATTCCATAAGTCCGTACTGGTGACACGCAGCAGCAGCAGACTGCTGGTGCTTCATTTACACAATGCTTTGGATGCTGAGAGTGATGACTCTGAACAAAAGGCAATGCCAAAGTTCACCCAGCCTAGTCTGTCCCCACACGATCTCAAGATGTTTGAACTGTAGTTGGTAAAGAGAGCAGATTGGGCGCACTAGACTAGACTAGAATTTCAAGCTCTACCTCTATTGATAACTACCTGGGTAAGCCTCAGAGCCCCACTGGGTTTGATTGTTCTTTTTTGTAGTTTGAGATGGTTAAACTGAATGTGGTAAAATTTTGTGACTCTATTAAGTAAATTCCTTATTCCATTAAAAGAACCTCTAAAAGGCATTTGGTTAACCAGGAACTAAAATTAGATTGAACTATAACTAGCTTCCTAGCTGCTAAGGTTCAGCCACATTCCTGGTGCTTAAGTACTATCAGGCCCAAGTGTACTGTGTGCTATGTTGCCAGGGTCACTTCAGAAGGAATTAGAGGGATAGCCTTTCCTTGACTATGGCCTTTCTGAGGATGTGAATTTATTACATTTACAAAAGAGTTTTTTAAAGAGAGTGACTTGAATCCAATTAACACAGGAAATATAATACTGAATTCTAAAAGATCCATCCAGATCTGCTTTGGAACAGTTGTCATTGAAAAACCTGAAGCCAATGTAATAGGCACTTAGTCCAGTAAGAGTAATTGTACCCAGTGGCACTTTGTCAAAAAGAAAAGCCAGACTTACCTGTACATTAGCGTGGACAGATCCAGGCACCTGATATCTCAAGTCATGGGCTGTTGTTTGAGACTTTGGAAGCAGAAAAGGATAAGAAAGGGACCGATATTTTGATTTCATAATCTAAAATAAAGAAAAAAGAGATAAAAAATTCAAATGAAGCTGGTCCAAAAAGTGAGTTATCTCACTTGATTGTTCACAGTCAGTTACAGATTGAATTCCTTATTCTATTACTTTTCCCCCTCTTCACTACTGTACTTGACTAGTCTTAAAAAAAAAAAATTCAAATGAGAAAAGAGATCCATTCTTCCCTATTTTGTGATTATAAGAGAAATTCGGGGCTGGACATGGTGGCTCACGCCTGTAATCCTAGCTCACGCCTGTAATCCTCTGGGAGAGGGAGGCAGGAAGATCACTTGAGGTCAGGAGTTTGAGGTTGCAGTGAGCTATGATGATGCCACTGCATTCTAGCTGGGGTGATAGAATGAGACTCTGTCTCAAAAAAAAAAAAAAAAAAAGAAGAAGAAGAAGAAGAAAGAAAAAGAAAGAAAGAAACTTGGTTCATTTGAAAAAGAATAAGAAAACTGTTAACAGTGGATGTTTCTAAGTGAAGGGCTGTAGATTATTTATATTTGTTTTCTATTTCCCATATTTCCTTCTTTTACCTTTGTAGCAAGTGTGTATTATTCTACATTAGGAAAGAAGGATTAAAGATAATCTTTAGTTATAGAGGCATATAATTGCAAATATGGGATTATTGTTTTATAAACTAATTTTTGCAATATTGTAGATATCTTGCCACATCAATATAGTACTACATCATTGTTTTTAATAACTTCATAGTAAAATGGTATAAAAGAATCATTTATTTAAGAAATTCCTATTAATGAACACTTCAGTTATTTCTAATTTCACTTGAATTATTAGAAACAATATAAAAGTAAGTTACCTTATTGGATTACTTCTTTAGCTTGAATACCTGGAAATGTTTTTCTGGATCAAAGGTTGCATACTTTTAAAAAAACTTACTGGTGTTGTACCAATTTATCTTCCCAGGAGCAGGGTATAAGATCACAAAAATTCCCAAACCCAACTGTAAATATAGAAGTTTTTTATCTTTGCCAGTACAGTAGGTTAAAAGTAACATCCCTTTTATTCATCCATCTCCCCTAAATTTTTGTTAAAAATATTTCCATTAGAGCTTCTGCTAAATCTTTATACTGAGAATGAAAAATAAAATGAGACTCTAAATTGTTGATAAAACTGAACCATTTTCCAAATTATCAGGGGGAAAATGCCTCACACTCATTTCAAATAAATAAAATGGAGGCTTAACAATACCCGAATGATGTTTACTCAACTAAGAATGTTAGTTAAGTTACGTTAAGTTCTGACTAGCAATGAGGACACAATCTGGAGAAAAAAAAATGGCTCCATCTTTCTTTACTGTTTGCTTTGTTCAGAACCAATTCTCAGAATCCTGGACCAATAAGAACCCAGAACAATTCCAGGATTGAGAGGGACTTTAAGGCTTGAGCTTTCTCCTCTAAACCAGCTCCCTATAATAGCCCTCCACATGACTACTGAGCCCAGGCCACTAAATGCTTAATCAATACTAAGAGTCTAAGATGTTAAAAGGATAAAAAGGCCCTGATATCTATCGCTCTGTACTCTGAATTGTCTGTGATGTGAAAGTTTAGGAATGTGTCCTTTTTTATTTAGAGGCCCAGCCACCCTGACAAGGATGCCCACAACAGTAGATGGTGGCATAGCTGTGGGCACAGCAGCACCTTCTTCCAACCCTCTGGACTTTTCTGGCTAGACCTCACTCTCTTCACGTGGACTGAATCATGACAGTAACATCCAAGTACCTTTGTGAAGTTCCAGCGCTGGATGAAGTGGCGAGCCACGTCACGCGCTGCCTTCCCGTGGACCGCAGAGGCAATATCATGCCAGGGCATCCGGGGAGTGGAGTACCTGTCAATGAAATCTGCCCAGGTGTACCAGGCAAGGGTCAGCCGTTAACTTCTGTGCTGGGGACAGAAGCCCTCCAGCTCCAACTATGATACATAAAAGGAAATGTGTTAATGCCTAGTATGTGCATATTTCTTAGCTTGGGTAGAACAACATTTATATAGTCTCCCAGGCACTCTCCTCAAATATATTTCCATGTCACTTAGTATTAGATAATCACTAGACAAAGCAAGATGTGAGTTGGTACAAATTATCTAAGGCTGTGTACTTGATATTATATATATATATATTTCTTATCTTGTTGAAACAGTGGCAGGCAGTGCAATTTCTATCTTCTCTTAGACATAGTAAGACAGTATAATCTGGAAATACGCCCTTCTAATGTTGGAGAGTGGAGATGACAAGCAGAAAATAAGATGATCAAAGGAAGGCTACCATGTCTTGGAGAATTATAGATTATTACCCCCAAAATATGCCTATAGGAAACCTGGAGGTTTCAGACAGGTCAGCTCTATTTTGTGGTCTTTTCTTATTGTAACTACAAAGAAAAGTCCTTAAGTTTATGACTAATGACTAAATCACGTCTCCAAAGTTTTACAAAATTTTCAAAAATAAAAACAAAGTAAAACAAAAGGCATTTAGAGAATATACATGCATACTTGTTAAGATGCTCGAAAGAAAAAAACAAAATACAACCAGTAAGCCCACCACCATCATACTCACCGGCGAAAGGCTTATCAAGTTGAACCCAGTCTTTGAAGACAAAATTGCAGTAGTCCTTTCCATGCCAGAATCTGGTTTCCCCATGCAGCTCTCCCACACCCGTCTGCAAACTGCGGATGGAGCCGGTGTCTGTGAATGCAGCAAGACCCCCTCAGAGACTGTGGTTCAGGTGGGCCCCAGAGAGCAAGGCTCAACTCTCGTTTATTAAACATCTAAAAACTTCTTAACTTCTTAAGACTCATAACTAAGGCAGCATCCATCCATTCTAATAGAGGTCATGGGCTCAAAAGGTTTTACAACTCTCACGAGTTTATTTTTAGTGGGTGGTTGGGGCTATAACAAGGTTTCTCATTAGACAATGAAATTTAACCTTCCCAGGCAGTTGAGCAGCTTATTCTCACCACCTACCAGATCACTGGGAGAACCAATCACAGGGTTACCTGTGAATAAAGGACTCATGAGACAGGACTATGAGGGAGCAGTAAAGCCAGGTGAGGGTGGAGAAACCTGAGACACAGAGGCAAGAAAGATGTCATTCCACTTCCCTTTTCTAAGCCAACACGATGCACACCCAATGCTATCATAATTCTTGTCTTTTACATCTCATAAAGCAAGAACCTCAAATTTACAGACAGCCCATGTTCCAGTCCTGGAATTAACTAGCTAAGTGACATGGAGCTTCAACCTTCTGGGTCAGAAATTCCTAATGTGTAAAAGGAACAATTTGGCATAAATAACAGCTAAGATCTTTTGGGCTCCAACACTCTGTATTCCCCTCATTGTAAAAGGCATTCATAAAAATTATAACAACAGGCAGAAGCTTACGATATAGGCGCAAAAGCAGCAATCTACTGTAGCATTTCACAAAGAACTTGCTGAGACCATTTTACTTAAGAGTAAATACTTTGAGTAAAATAATTTTTAAATTTAGGGAATATGTTGACCATAAAAACAACGAAGTGGGGAAAATAGCAGAACTACAAATCACAAAGGCAGCAGTTGGCACGAAAGAGGCGCTTAACAAAAATAGACATTGGATGCAAAAACATTTGTTGAATGAATACATGGTACTGCTTGCAGTAGCCAGTGAGAGACTGCATTGATCCCTCCTCCCCACAACACTGTCCCAGAACTGTCTTTCTAAAATGCAAACTCATTACTTAAACGCCTTCTAGGATCACCTTCTGCCTAGAGGAGGTTCAAGTCCTAGGGGCTCAGTATGCATAGAAGGCACTTCCTAAACTGGCACCAATACATCTTTCTGGGTTTTGTTTTTCCCCACCCAACCCCAGGCACCATGCATTGTACATTTTCACTGTATTTTGACAGGCCTGCTCTGCTATGCCTCCATGCAATTGGCACATTATTCCTTCTGCCTGGAATGCTCTTCCCTCCCTCTTGGCCTGATCTCCTAAGGATCCTCCAAGAGCACATTAGCTATCACCTGCCCTACAGAGACCTCCCAGATCCCTGCAGGGACAGGCAGTCACTAGCACTGCTGTCATCCCATTAGCAACTGCACACCCTAACGCCTGTGACTCTGGGATGCAATTGTGTAAGGATGCACCCCAACCCCCATTAGTCTATAAAATCCCCAGGAGCGGGGACTGTATCTCTTCACTGCCTGGTGTAGCTCCTGGCATCAAGTCAATCAATAAACATTTGCAGAACAAATGTTTTCATGCAATGATCACACGCAATGCTAATATTCTACCTCGAACTGAATAATTAACCTTTCAAAGGTTATTGAAATTTTCTCTAAAAGAAAAATGGCTTAAAGTGCCAAAGATTAGCAAAATTAAATAATGTTAAAAATAGACTTCTGTTGACTTCTCCCAGTGGTTTATTTTCCTGCTGTGTAAGACTGAAAGACCAAAGTACAGGTAGGTCTGTTTGTTCACCTGTAGGCTCTTTATAGTAAGCATGGCAGTTTGTTAACAGAAAAAAAAGAGAGAGAGAGAGAGAGAGAGAAAGAACAAAAAAATGAAATAAATAATGGGTCAGATTCCAAATTAAGAAAAAAGATATATAAAATTTGTTTTCCTCAGTTGAGAAACTCTAAGCTAAGGCTTTACATAAACACACTTACACTTGTTTAAAAATTAACTTTCACCTAACGACTGGTTATGATAAGGAAAAGAGAACAAAGCAAATTCTTGGTGCCAGAAAATTATCTTGGTACTAATTAAATTCAACTTGCTCATCATTCAAATTTGTTTTTGTTTTTAGCCATGCCCTGACAACTCTTCCAAATAAATCAGGGTCCTCTTCAGAACAAATTAACTGTTAAGGCAACAGAGCCAAGTACTAGTTCCTGCGATGACTGCTCAGCATTGCATGAGCACCTGTGAGCAGGTCCAGAGGACTTTTGGCCTCTGCAATTCAGATCCAGGGGTCTCTCGTTAGGCTGTATCTGGCTCCCAGATGATTTCACAATTGCATCCGCCTTGTCTTTTCGCACAGGTTTGTTATGCCAATTTTCTGCATTCTCCTCTTTCAGGGACCCAGGTTCTGGCTGCTAAAGTTTATGACAAGGGTGTCCTCCCACTCCTTGCTTGCTGTCTTCTGGCCTGACCATGTCCTCCTCCTTTTCTCCTCTCTTGGCTTCCAAAGTTCCATTCTTCTAACCATTTCTCCAGCCTACCCTTCTTGTTCTTCCTTCCTAGCTCCTTCTCACTACCAAGGTTTCCTCTTTCTCATGACTTTCTCTGTACAATCGGAAAGGTGGCCTTGTTAATAAGCCATTTTACACCCTAACACAATCCCTAAATGTACACCTCTAGGCCTGGCTTGTTTGCGGCTCCAGATCTGCAGTCACATCCAGTGCCTCACTTGACATTGTTTACCTAGCTGTCCCACCAGGATTTTAAAATTACATCTAATGTGAAGATCATTATTATCTCCACACAATCAAGTCCCTCCTTGAGATTTCTACTTTCCACTCACAGTCACCCAAGTTCAAACATCTGCATGGCTTTTGGCCCCTCCCTTCCGCACTGATTTCTCCACCCACCTCCCAGCACCACGACCCAAATCATATTGAAGTTCTGCTGATTCTTCTTTTAGAGAAAGTTTCTCCCATTCACTTCATTCTTGGGCCCACTGACACAAGCTGGTCAGACCCCCTGGGTCTCTAGTGCAACCTTTGTAAAACCTCACCCTTAAACCCCACTCCCAGGGGATTCTCCAACATTTAGTAGATGAGGTGCAATGTTTCAGTCTGATTTTCAAAGCCCTCCATAAATTGGTATGGATATACCCTACCAGCTTGATTTACACAACTAACTAACCCTTAACAAACACAATTCCAAAACTCCAAAAGCTCTGAAAATCCAAATGTTTTTTCGTAGCTCATGTATTAGCAAAACTTGACCTGAACTGACAAGAGATTATTGATTATCTTTATTGATCTCAATTGGTGTTGCACAAATATAAATGGTTTGCTTACATTCCACGTGTGTCCTGGACCCTGCTGGGAGTATAACATAATATGAGGTTTAGGTCTTGTATTACCTTTCTAAAATCCAGAACCTTCTGGTTTCTGAAGTGCATCTGATTCCAAGGATTTTGTTTAAGAGACTATAGACCTCTATGTATTCACTACATTCCACATTCAGGTCTGAGGTGCTGAAATAAATACTTTTGGCATTTCCTCTATCAGCGCCTTAAGATATAACATCCACCTGAAATATCTGTTTTTCTCCCTTCTTAGCCTCTATCTGCTGAATTTCGACTTATGTTCAAGGCCAGTTCCAATACAGGTCCTCAATGAGTCACATTAAAAAAACTTTTTGGTTTTCAAAACTTTTTGGATATTGGAATTGTGGATAGGTTTTATGGACCTGTATTATATCTGTGGAGAGGCTTCACTGATGAATCTGGGCAGTAGCAGTATCTTCCCTTGATGAATTACTAAGGTACTAGGTTTGTAAAATATTTAAAACTCATGTTCACCTGTTAGATAAGATTTTTGACAGCACAAAATGAGTCTTATACATCCCATACATTGGATCCCTGAGAACAGAGTTTAGAAATGGCTTAACTTACTATTCCTTATCCCTTATGATTGTATATTCAAATTTGAAAAACCTGTCTCAATTAAATTGCAAAAATAATTTTCCCCTCACTTATTTATTTAAATTGTTTAAAAGGAAAAGATCAGCAAACAGTTGCTGAATATAAGAGGAGTAAAATTCAACCCTTTAAAAATAGTACCAAAGCAACGTCAATCCAAAATTCTCCCTCTTCCTACATAATTCTGAAAAGAAAAAAAAAATTTTGATGATGGCTGAGTGATTTGGAATTAACATACATATTACAAAAATCTACTATGGTTACTAACCACATGTTCAGTGCAGTTTCTCTGTTTAGAAACCTACAGTGATCTTGTACGCACACTCTGCACTGATTTCTGTATAACTCCAAGAAGGCTTATTAGGAGCCCAGTTCCACACGGTCTTTTGCAGTCAAGTGACACGGACACTGCAGAGAGGCTAACCCTGTTCACATTCACAGAAAGGGAAGTCATCAACTCAAGGGAATATTCAGTCTTAGATTTCTAATGAGGAGTTACTCCATGCTTGATTTGGGCTTCCAGTTTTATAAGGCAACATGAGTTTAAGTCATGACGTGATTTGAATGTAGAGCCTTGCTCTTTAAACTTCTTTCATTATTTTTAGTAGAACCTTATATTTTTTTCCAAAACAAATTCCCAAGGGACTACAGTATACAAAGTGAATACAAATGGGATTGTTCTGGTTGAAGCAGGTACCGGTAGCGGTGGGAGAATCCTGCAGTCCACCTGCCTCAATGTCCTCAAAGCCTTCTAGAAATTCCAGGGGCCAAGGAGTAGACTCTGGAAAGCACTGCTCTAGAAGGTCCCTGCCATCATTTGGCTTTTCAAGTAAATTAATTTTTAT